ACTTGTGCCCCAGCTTCTTTGCATGCATGTTTGTTGAGCGTGTTCTTTCCACCTGTGTGTGTTGAGCGTGTTCTTTCCACCTGCCAGCACGTGCAGGGCCTTCAGGAGCCAGGGATGATCTGAGAACATGCTGCCATCCTCTCTTATCACTGGGCTGGGTGGGCCAGGGCAGTGCTGACACTTTGCGTGGGAGTGCTTGGGTTGCTGATATTTCTTTACAGTTTTCTGTTCAGAAGCTCCTTCAGAGGAAGGAGCTGTGTGACCTCAGTGGGATACACAGTGTCTCAGGCAGCCCCTGGGCTGTTCTCCACGGGCATCTCCCCCTGCCACACAAGGTGTCCAGCAGGATGGCCGTGTCTTGTTTGTGCCTGTTGGGGTGGAAACTAGCACAGTTCAGGTGTCCTTCATGAGAAAGCTGGGACCTGGCACTTGCTTCCCTTGGAATTTCAATATTTAAAGTGGGTTTAGTTGTAGCCCAGGCCAAAGACATGAGGTGAATTGCCTCTGGGTGAGCTGAGTGCTGCATTCTGTCTGTCTGGGACAGCTCAGGTGTGGGTTTGGTGCTGTTGGCTGCTAGTATACATCCTTCTCTAACCTGTGTGTTCTCTTTCAGGTACAAAACCGGCAAGAATAAGTGGTTCTTCCAGAAGCTGCGATTCTAAAGGTGTAACAGGGTTGCATCAATAAATGTTTATTAAAAACTATGAATTTTTTGTTACTTAACAAAGAAGCAGTGGCCTTTGTGGTGTGGTCGTGCTTCCTCTGTGTGTCTAAGAGCCAGGAAAGCCATTGCAGTCCAGATGAGCATCAGTGCATTTGTGGAGCCTTGTGCAGCCCGAGCCGTGGGTGCAGGTGTCACCTCTGGACTGCTCCAGGTGTGGCCACGTCGCACTGTACTAGAAATGGGATGGTGACAACACAGACTCTCAAGTTTAGTTGCAAAGAGAGCTTGTTTTAGTCTTCCAGATCCTCTTTTATAGACAGTTCCAAAAAAGTCTGAAAAAGTAAAACTTTTGTTGGTCATCAAGCTGACATCACCATCATTGGACAGTTAGGAAAAACACCTCTCCACTGTTTCTTACAAGTAAACAACAAGGAGACAAACACCACCTGCAAAGGTTGTTTTCCTTCTCCAAGGACTGTTTTGAGTTCCTCCTTACAATTTCTCAGGCCAGTGTGAGAAGGTTATGTGACTTAGTTTCACACAGACACTGCGACCTGCCTGATCTCACATTCAGCATCCACATGGCCAGGCCTGCACTTCCCTTCTGCAGCTGCAGGGTGCTTGATATTCCTGCCACAGGGCAAGTCTCTTACTCCCAAAACTGGGTTGATCCTTGTGAGAGAGGGAAGGCAAACAGATGGTTCTGGGTGTCGGCTAAGTGCACAGTGATTTATGTGGTGACTGACCTGTGGCTGTTGGATTTTAGCTTCCCCAACGGGGCAGCCGGGGAGCAAGGGCTGGCTCGGGTTGTAAAGGCGCAGGAAGAGTTTTATTTCTGTGTTAGCTGTTCTGTTCCTGGCAGGGCAGATGCTCAGGGAAGGCGAGTTAAGTGGGCCGGGGATGGGGGGGAGATGGAGGTGGTGAGGAATCGGGCGGGGCTGGACGGGCCCGGCCTTCCACCGCCCCCGGGCCGCGCTCGGAGGGGCCGGGGCGGAGCGAGGCCAAGAAAACGAAAGCGAAAGGCGAGAGCGGGGTCCCGGTAGCGCCGGGCGAGCAGAGAGCGGTCCCGGCGGGCAGGGCAGGGCAGGGCAGGGCTCGGCTCACCGGGGCTCCGCTCCGAGCGGGGATGGATTCGGAGGAGGTGAGGAAGAGCTGAGCCACGGGAGTTGCGGGCGGGGGGCGGCGCAGCGCGGCTGAGACCTCTCCTGTCTTTAGGAATCTTTCATCCGGCTGTTCCCCCCGGAGGGGCCGCAGGACGAGGGCTCGGAGAGCCCCGAGCAGCTCCGGAGGGAGGTCGAGCGGCTCAAGGTGGGTTCGGCTGTGCCGAGAGAGGGATTGGGCGGCCGGATCCCAACTGTCCGGGCTCCGCCCGGCCGGCCTGGCCAGGAGGGAGCTCCAGTCTTTTCTGGGACTACGAGTCAGAGGCGGCAGAGAGGAGTAAATCCCATGTAGAGGAGAGGCTGTTCTAGGGTCCAGGCTCACTCCCAAAGGCACAGCCGGGGCTGGATGGCTGGTGGGGGTGACACAATGTCGTCAGGGTCTTGCTGTTTGATGGTGCTTCTCACAGGAGTTTTACAGTGCTCTGGAGCAAGACCATGCAAAGCTACAAATAGCAAAAAAAACTGCAGAGCAAAGGACACAAGAGCTGAAAAAAGAAGAACTTAATAAAATTTTTGAGCAACAGCTGTCTTTAAATGGAGATGAAGAAAGAGCCCACCAGGTCAGTGTTCAGTGGATGTGTCTTAGGCTTGGAAGGGTGGCAGGGCATCAGGCAGGTCACTGCCCTGAGGTCACTTGTTTGGGATCCAGCGGAGGTTTCATGGGAAACATAAGGCCTGTGCTGAGAAGTGCAGTGCATCAGCAAGGGGAGGGCTGTCCTCAAAGAGAGGACAGGGCAGAGCTGCAGACAGTCAAGAGCAGGAGAGTGGGGTGGAGCTGTGTGCCCAAAGCAGTGCTGTGCTCAGAACAGAAGTGTACTGCAGCCTGGTCCTGGTGTGAAACTACTGTGTCCTGGTGTTCCCTAATTCCCACTCTCCTTCCTTCCTTCCAGATTTTTGCAATAAAGGAGGAGAACAACAGATTGAGGCAGGAGAAGCAGGTTCTGAAAAATAAACTGGAAGAATTGAGGGTCCTCTGGAACGATCCTGTGAGGGTAACAGAGTGTGTGTGGGCACTTGGGTCTGCTGGCAAGGGCACAAGCCTGGCTAGAGAAGCTGCAGCTGAATGCAGCTGGGCACTTTGTGATGACGGGAAGAGCTCCTGCTAGCAGGCGGCTCCTCTGCCAGGGCCAGGAGCTCTGGTCATGGCTTTGGGATTCCAGACACAGCCAGAGACTAGGAGAGACTCTGCTGAGGTTCTCCAGCTGTTCATTTGAGCCATGAGTTTATTTCTAGTCTGTGGATTGGCAGGGATATGCCCTGTGCAGGGTCCAGTCTCCTCCAGGTGCTGTCTGTACTTGAACCTAGATGCTATCTGCCTTGCCTGAAAAGAAAATGGTCTTTAAGGGACTCACAGTAAACAAGGACGACATGAACAAGCTGATGCTCACCCCGCTGATCCGCTACCCTCTGCCGGGGGGCTCAGCTCTCATCACCTTTGAGGAGGCAAAGGGTAAGTGTGAGAAGAGCACTGCTCTGGCCAGGTGCTCGATCATTTTGGGGCCTGCCCTGTGTCCCCTCCCTGTGCCAGAGTTTGGTGCTGCCCCTCTCCCTGCTTTGTGTGGGGCTGTGCCCCCTCTCTGACACCTTTGCTGTGCCGTGTCCTGTCCTGGAAAGTGCTGGGAGTGGGCAGTCACTCCCCTGTGTTGGGGGCTCTCCCTGCCCGCAGTGGCCCAGAGGATCATCGAGCTGAGGGAGCACACGGTGGAGCTGAGCTGTGGGGAGCTGGAGGAGCTCGACCAGTGCAGAATGCAAGTGAAGGCAGTGCCAGTGGAGCTCCTGCTGCCATCTGCCCTGGAGGTAGGGCCTGTGGGTCCCCAGCTCCTCGTGCCAAGGAGCTGCCCTGGCCACGCTGCTTCCCCCGTCTGAGCCTGCCTCGACCAGGGCACAGCTACCAGCCACAGCCAGCGCTGCTCTCCTGAGCTCTGGGGCCAGTCCTGCCCTGGCACTGACTGGCCACTGCCACCCACAGATCAGGCTGACTCAGAGCAGCAGGAGCATCCTTGTGTCTAACTTGCCCAGCCTGGACATCTCCAAGGATGGACTGCTGGACAAGCTGGAGCTCTTCTTCAGCAAGAAAAAGAATGGGGGCAGCGAGGTGGAGAGCAGGGAGTTTCTGGAGGACTCTGACCAGGTGGTGCTGACCTTTACACAGGATGGAGGTGCGTGGGGTGTGCTGAGCTTGGGTGGCTGGCAAGGGTGGAATAGCCCAGTCTTCTCAGGCAGGAAATCTGAGAGCAGATGAAGCTGTGTTTGGGGAACAGGGAAGATAGAGTGAGCCCCAGGCTATCCCGCCTCCCCCAAAACTGTGCTGGGTGATTGAGCTGGGCACTGTCAGTCTTGGTGCCTATGCCAGGAACAGAACCCTGGAGCTTACCTGGGATCTGGGCAGCTCAGGACTTTCCTCTCCATATGCAGTGGCAGAGCAGCTGATTGAAAAAGGATTTATCCAGGTGCCCATTGGGAAAGGGACACACAAAGTCAAAATATCACCATGCATGAGTGGACACATCTCTAACATGCAGGTAAGGGCGTGAACCCTGTGCAAGCAGCACCCACCAGCCCGGGCTGAGGCAGCACAGGCCGGGGGGCTCCTGAAGCCCCTCTCCCTGCACTGCTCTGCAGCTCATCCCCTGCTCTGTCCAGCTCCAGCCCTCCCGCTGCCCCAGGACTGTCCTGCTCTTGGGCATCCCCGACGTGCTGAGTGTGGAGTCCATGAGGGACGCCCTGGAGATCCACTTCCAGAAGGCCAGCCGCGGCGGCGGGGAGGTGGATGCCCTCGCCTACGTCCCGGCGGGGCGGACAGGGATGGCCGTGTTCGTGGAGGACACGGGCTAGTCCTGGCCAGCCCGGTCAGCCCGAGTCTCAGGAGCTCCGTGCGTCCGTTGGCCGGCGGGCACGGGGGAGATTAAAGCGTCTGTTGAGGGCACCCACCGTGTCTGTTGTGTTGGGGCCGGGCCGGGCCGGGCGCTGCCGGGGGGAGGCCGGGCCCTTCCCCGGCCGCGCTCTGAGGGGCCGGGCCGGGCCGCGCCGTCCCGCGGGGCCCAGGGCGGGGCGGCTCCGCTTTCGCTTTCATTTCCCCGCGGCACCGGCGCCGGGGCGGAGGCCGGAGCGGGCCCGGGGCCGCAGGGCTGGGGTGGGGCCTGGCGAAGAGGGCCCGGTGTGGCGGGGCCCGGGCAGCCGCCCCCGCGGGCATGGCGGGCTGCACGGTGCGGGTGCAGGGCTTCCCCGCCGAGCTGCCTCCGGACAGGGCGGCCGACAAGCTGACCATTCACTTCCTGCGATCCCGCAACGGCGGCGGGGACATTGCCGACATCCGGGTGCTGCCCGGGTCCCCGCCCTGCGCCCTCATCACCTTCGAGGCGCCAGAAGGTATCGCCCATGGGACCCTCGGGGGCCCGGCCTGTCCCACCATCCCCAGCCCCTCTTCCCTGTCCCGCCATCCCCAGCCCCTCTGCCCCGTCCCACCACCCCCAGCCTCTCTTCCCTGTCCAGCCATCCTCAGCCCCTCTTCCCTGTCCCACCATCCCCAGCCTCTCTTCCCTGTCCCACCGTCCCCTCTTCCCTGTCCCACCAGCCCCTCTTCCCTGTCCCACCACCCCCAGCCCCTCTGCCCTGTCCCACCATCCCCATCCCCATGCCTCTCTGTCTTCTTTCCCCTGTCCCACCATCCCCAACCCTGACATTGCCTTGCCCACCCTCCCCTGTCTTGCCATCCTCTGTCCTACCTGTCCTGCTGTCCCCAGCCCCACCATCCCATATCCACCCCCACGGCCCCACTGCTGTCCTTTGGCTGGGCTGATGTGGGTCCGGGTGGCTTTTCCCACCAGTGGCCCAGAGGATCCTGAAGGTGAAAAACCACGTGCTGGCAATCGGAAAGACACGGTACCCACTGGAGGTGACACTGCACGCCGCAGAGCTGAGCCCCGATGAGGTACTGAGGGGACATGGCAGCCCCAGCTGCTCCCACACAGATTCTGTGCCTGGCAGACAGCTCAAAAAGGGAGACTTCACTCTCTCATTTTAATTACACTTAAATCCATTTTCATTCATATTCAAATGAAGATTTTTTTTTTCTGTGCTAATAGCACAGGGACAGGCAGGCAGGCTGTGTGCTCAGTCATCTGGCATTTGTGTCTGTCAAATGAAGGGTAGTCAGGCTGGAAAGAACAGGCACTTTTCACCAGTCCATCTGGTGCCACATGGGGGAGGATCCTGTTAATGCCTTTGCCATGTCATCAGCTGGACATACAGTGTATTGTTCCTCTTTCCTTCTCAGGAAAGCTTAGGATACAGACATGCTGGTGTCTAGGGAGCACTGGAGAGTTCTTGCCTCTTCCTCCAGTCTCAAGAGACTGTGGTAGTAGCCATGTCTCATGTTTTCATGTCTGAGCCCCAAAAACAAAGGCATGGGAATTAGCCTGACCTTGCAGATCTTTTTGCAAGCCTGTGGTGCCAAAACTGCTTGAAGATCTGGAAGTGAAGCTCTGCAAGGGCAAGAGAGCAACTGCATTTCAGATGCAGAAACAATAGTGGATTTCATGGGTTTGGGCTTTTTAAGGAGCTCTCAGTGTGTAGAAATGTGGCCCTATCTCTGTGCAATTTCCCCCTCTGACTTTATTTGCAGAAAGCTTTTGACAAAGGCAGGAGTTGCTTAGTCTGGGTCTTTTGGTCCTGTCTGTGTCAGGGTCCATCTTCTCCTCAAAGTGGGATGCTGAGAGAGAGAGGTGGAAGAATCTGTCATCTCTTCTGTCACAGTAATGCAGGGGCCGGGTGCATTTACTTTCTCCTGTGCCTTTGAAAGGGCACAGGAGGTTTGGTCCTTGGTCTCTCACTCCCTTGCTATCTCCTTGCAGATCTTCATACATGTGTGCATGACAATTGACTATGGCAAGCTTGGTAAAACCCTCCTGAAGGGCTTGCACAAAGACTACAGCAATGTACAGTTCAGCTTCGACTCGCAGAATATGCACTGCATAGTCCAGGGATCATTCACTGAGCTGCAGACCTTCAGCAGAGACCTGCTAGACAGCGTGAACCTCAGGAGCCAAGCCATTGATGAGAACCCCCTGCCAGCTTCCAGCAGTGGGGCCAAAAAGATGGGAATGCATAATCACCAGCAAGTGCCTGACTCCACTGAGTCAGCACAAGAGACAGCAAAGCTGCCAAATTCAGACCAGCAGCATGAAATGGCAGCTAAAGTCCCATCACCTCAGAGCCCAGTGGGTGGGGAAGCTGTGGAACTTATGGGGAAGCTGGAGGACTTTTCCCTAGCAATGGACTTGGACATTTACTTGTACATGCAGAGGTTCTGTGCTGCTGAGTACCAAGGTGTGCTGCACCGACATCACGTGGATGTGGTGGATGTCAGTGGCGATGGCATTACTGTGTTGTACCTCCAGCCATCTGGAGGGCTGACTGGGGACACAGATGCCTTGAGACAGGCCCACGTGGCCCTGCAGCAGCTCTACCAGCAGCTGGAGGTGAGCCTGTGCAAGGAGAAAGTTGCTAAGGAAGAGCTGGGAATGGACAGCCAGGCACTCAGTGCTCTGACTTGTGAGCTGAAGAAGCTGTATCCCCAGTTGCTCTGCCATGAGGATGTGAAGCAGCTTTATCTCGTTGGAAACCTTGTTGATGTGTCCCAGGCCAAGCAGTTCCTTCAGGATTCCATCACCAGGAGAGGTGCAGCACACACAGGTGACACGCTGAGCAGCTCCCAGCCCTCTGGCACCACAGAGGCTGCACAAAACCTAGCCAAAGTGCCTGTGGACACTTCAGCCACAAGACTTAGCCCAAGCAGGCCAGAGCTGAAAGGTGAGTTCAAGCTAGCTGCCAACTTCAGCGCTTTGAAAGCTGACAGATCTCAGGCTGGCCACGGCCTCTTGCTGAATCAGGACTCTCCATCGGTGGGAGAGGTGCAGCTTTCTGGGAAACATTCATCAGAGACAGATGCTCCTGGTCTGAGTGCCTCAAGGCCACCGACCCAGCAGTATCGGCCTCCCACTCCTGTGACAGATAAAGTTCTGGGGTCAGCAGCAGAGCCTCAGCAGAACAACCCCACAGAAAGGGACCATGCAGAAGGAGGCACCAGGCTCACAGGAAAAAAAGCGTCGTTGCCCCTTTTAGGCAAAGAAAACAGCACTTTTCAGCATCCTGAGGACTCCAAAGGCTCGGGTCCCATTGAGCCCCATTTCCTTGTTGGCATGTCCAGCACCTGTGATGTGACATGGACCTCTTTTGCTTTAGGCTCCAAGCCCTCTGCAGGCAGGTCTCTGCTGCGACGGTCCAACAGCTTCTCCCTACCAAGGTCAAGGGAAAGCAACAACTGCAGAGACAGCAGCAGCAGGGCCAGTGAGGAAATGAGCCTGGACTCTCTGCAGTGGTTTTACCTGAAAGATGTCTGCCATGCCACTATTGATGAGCTGTGCAGGGCTGGAGGGGTGCAAATCTCGGAGTGCCACGCTGGGGACTGCACAGTGCTGACTCTGCAGGCAGCAGACAGCACAAGGCTGTTACAGGCTAAATGGAAGTTGGAACGTCTTGTGCAGAAATGCCCTGACTTGGTGTGTCAGAGTGTGAGCTACTCAGAGCTCGCTGTCGATGGTCCTGATGACAGTGACCTGAGTGAACTGTGCAGCCTCTTGCGAGGAAAATCCTTCCAGGTTGGACTCAACGTAGACGAGTACGGGCTCCATCTTGCCTGCCCCAAGGAGGTTCTACCAGGATTGACTGAGGCCTTCCACATGTTTTGTTCCAGGAGGCTCTGTGCCATGAAGTCTTCATCCATTTCTCCTGGACCAGAGAGTATGGGGATATCAAGTGTCATCCAGCCAAGCAGAAGCCCAGTGCTGGATGCAGCCCATCCTGGCAGCCTGAATTCCCTACAGCAGCTGAGCATCAGCAATCAAGCAGACTCTACAAATGTGCTCAGGGCTCCCTGGGTGCCAGAGGCTGAGGAAAAGAGGTCCCCCAGTTCTTGGAGGTTTCAGCAGGCCTGGGGACAGCAGGAGGCCAGGGGCCATATTGATCCTGGGTTTAGGAGAGGAGGAATCAACCTTCTGAGCCTTGGTGGAGGGGATAAGCCAAATCCTCCTGGCCTGAGGGAGCCCCAGGAACAGTGGAAGATAAAACTGTATTTGGGGGAGCCTGACACCAACCGGCTAAAACAAGTCTTGCCAGACAGATTCCAGTTTGCAAGAGACAAGAACAGAGGAGGCCACAATGAAGCAATGAGACAGCAGCACTGTCCAGTCCCTGCAGCTGATGGAGCTCCTCACTCTATGCCCACCTGGCTATCCAGGGCCACAGCTGCTGAGCCACCACCAGCTGTGGCCCAACAGGCACCTGCAGCAGAGCTCATGGATCAGGGAAGGGACCAGTTCCCAGGGGGCAGGAGAAATGAGCAGGAGGAGCCTGACCTCCCATCACAGCAGAGAAGAGACCCCAGCCCTGGACAGGAAAGCAGCATGATCCCTCTGGACCAGTGTGATGCTTGCCAGGGCTCAGGTGTGACCTGCCAGGGCCCCTGTGGTCATGCCTTGTCCAGGACATGTTTTGCAGTAGACAATACACAGCCAGATTGCTGCAGATCCCCCCCAGCTGCCCCAAGCAGCAAGATCTTGGGGACAGTGAAGATCTCCTCCCTGTCTCAGAGCCTGCCTGGATACTATCGGGACCCAACACTTCAGCTTGCTTACAGCATCCCTGATGGTGTGCAAGGGGTAGGTAGCACCACAGAGCTTCCCCATCCCACTGCAGCCCGCACAGGGGGTGGCTGTCAGGGTGGCTGGGGGGAAAAGAGCAATCACAGCTCCCTGCCCCACATGCAAAGCAGCAGAGCCTATGTTTCATTAACCTATGAAAGGCAAAAAGCTCTACACCAGGTTTTGGAGCAGCTTGCTGCTTCTCAAGCGCATTTGTGAGCTCTGGTTTTAGTTGACGGTGACTATTGGCCCATGGGGATCATGGTCATCAGTGTAGTTTTCAAGCTAGACAAACCTTAGAAATCCCCTCAGAGGCACAGCATTCCAGATGTTGTTTAAATTGTCTTATTCCTGTTCTAAGGTTGGGGACCCTCGCCCAGGACACCCTTACAAAGGGGGGAATTTTTGTGCCTTTCTGCCTGATAACAAGGAAGGGCTGAAGACAGCAAAGCTGCTGAAGAAAGCATTTGATCGTGGGCTGACATTCCAGATCAAGTCCTGCAATGGAGAGGAAAGAGTAACATGGGGCCTTATCCCCCACAAAACCTCCTGGGATGGAGGCAAAGCCAGGTATGGCCCAGCTCATCCTAAGCTTCTGGATATGGTTGTAGGTTTTTTAGCAATTGGAGGAGGAGAACCGTGGGCTCCAGTTCAACAAATCCCAGCTCTTCCACCCTCCCACAGTGGCAGAGTTGGTGCCTCCCTTTGCTTCAGCTTGCAGGGCAGCTGTGGCATGGCAGACCAGCCCTGGCACCCTCCAGCTGGAGCAAAAGCCCTTGCCCATCCCACAGCCATAAGTGGTGTGGAAACCTGTAAGTTCCCCTTGGACAAGAATTCTGGGCCCTGTTCACTTACAGCCTTTCCCATGATAGTGCTGGGTATGAGCTGTGCCTGCAGGCAGCAGGACATCCACTCAGCCTCTGCTGAAAGGCTGGGACAAAAATAAAGGGCTGCTGCTTCCACTGTGGTTTTGGCACATCAGCAGGACTTACCTTGCTTCTCTCTCTGCCCCACAGGAATGGCTACCCGGATGCCCAGTACCTCCATGAGGTCGGCATAATTCTGAATAAACTGGGCCTTATGTGATTCTCCCACAGCCTGTGGCTTCCCTTTACCTTCTTTTCCTGCTGAGAAAACTGCAGCTTAACAGAGACAGCTCAGGAAAAAGCATGTGTTTGTCAAAGGAGCGCCTGCATTCCCCAGATGTAGCCAGAAATCTGCACATTAGCAAAGAGCAGCATCCCATCCCTGCCCCATGCAGGCCTCAGCACGGATCAGGGCTTCCCAGAAACTCCAGCTCCTCTCAGATGTGTGTCCTGCCACCCAGTCACAGAGCTGACTGCAGGCTGAGCCCCATGTGGCTTTCAGTAGCAGACACAAACCTGGGCAGGAGTCTGCACCTAGTCCAGCCCCAGCTTCTGGAAGTCTCTTCCAGCTCCTGCCACTACAGGCAGGTTCCAGCTCAGCTGCTGCCAGAGCTGGGGCTGGAGATGAATTGTCTTTAGTGTCAGCTCTTCACGCTGCCAGCTCAGGCCCCAGCAGACAGCCCCATGCTCCAGCCCCTCCCCAGCACCTGCTCTGAGGCCAGCAGGTGACCTGGTGCTCTCTTGAGGGGAACATTAACAGCTTTCAGCACCCACAGCAGCTGCCTCCCAGGGACAGGCTCTATGCTGACAAATAAACAGGATTAATTCTCGTGTTTGGTAGTGGCTGTTCATGCCTTGTCTTACCCTCAGCCCAGGCACCCACTTCAGTCCCACCTGGCTACTGAGACACCCCAATACCAAGTGCAGAGCCCAGCTAAAGGTTTCACAAAGAAAAATCACCATGGCTGCCCTCCAGGAAGAGTGTCAGGAACAACACTCAAGCCAACAATTAACAATTGTCCCTGTGAGCAGAGGCATCTCCTCATGCTGGGAGCGTCACACTTTGTCAACTGAACCTGCCCTGAGCTGTGGGCAGAAGGTTCATGACAACAGAAACCTGAGCAGCACACTGTGCAAGGTTTTGTTATGCTTTAATTAACATTTGAAACACATAAGGCATATGGTAACATTTGACAGAGGAGCAGTACACATTGTAGTCATGTAAACAGCAGTGGCACAGTTGTCTTCCGTCCAACTTGGTTACACGCACAAAGCGAAATATATTTTTTAAACAAAAGATTTGCTATGTGTCTGTAGGATGAGCATCACTCATATCACAAATCTGCAAATCAACACAATTCAGACAGTACAGACCAGACCATATGCTGTAAGAGGCTCACTCAGAGTCTAACACGTTTCACATCATGCTCATGTACTACTTGCCAATAACACTTTGCCGTCACGAGGGTTCAGCACACCAGAGACTAAGCAACCAGAGTGGTTTAACACCTATGATAGCAGCTGTCAGCAGGCCAGGATCCTGCACCAGCTGAAGCCTCACACACACAGTGCTTCTTACTTCTCCCTGGCCAATCGATTCTAGTTTAATACAGGTGTCTGGAACAAAACATAGAGCTGAACTCCTTCCCAGAGCACCTGGCAGGGGCCACACTCCTCTGTGCAAGCAGAGGCTACCTCTGCTCCCTCCCCCTCCTGCAGCCAGCTTGCAACACAAGTGAGAAACCAGAGTCAAAAATGTGGCAACCACTGCCGGGTGATAGCAAAGGAGTTGCACTTTGTCCAAGACCAGCAGCACCAGGCTGGAGGCCACTGCAGCAGCGACAGGAGAGGCCCTTGTGCTGAGCCTGCCGCAGCAGGCAGGGCTGTGAGTGCCTCCTCTGCTCATCAACTCCTTACACTTCCACTTGGACTCCTCATGGCACAACCTTTGAGCCAGACAATCAGTAAAATAAACATTAAATTGCACTTCTGGAATGGCACACATGATTAAGTACAGGTATCTCCCAGTTCTTCAGTAGCACAACTCTGCCCTAAACAAGCAACATTGAATGGAATGATTTTTATCCTAGGGTTTCGTTTTGGTTTTTTTTTGCTTTGGTCCTTAGTATACAAACTGGCTGGTTAACTTGATTAAGACACTTGAAGTTGTTTTACATAGGTTCTATACTTACTGGCCCATAGAAAAGTAAAGTAAAAAACCAAAACACAACCAACCACACCCACCTAAAGCAGAGCTTCGAGCAGGGGCGGAGGATTGCAAGGTTACATTTAATCTTGGTCTTCCTGTAGAAAACACTGTTGCTACCAAGAGACACAAAATAGCCAGTGCAGAACTCAAACAGGCAGTAACTGCTCGGCATTCCTGCCTCGATAAGGGCTTCAGGAATTTCTGGGTAGAAGACATGAGAGCCCAAAGAGAGCCAGGATTGTTTCCAAAGAGCCAAGGCTGGAGCAGCTGATAAAGCCTCACTCAAGGTTCGCTCTGGAGCCAAACAGCTGCCCTGGGGGAGAAACAAGGGCTTTACAACAGGTCTTACAGACTGGGGGGTACAGAACCATCAGATCAGCCTCAGAAAGGCTGGAACACCCGGGGAGAGGACAGCTAATTCACGGAAAATCCAATGACATCACCAGTGTTCACAAAACAGAGCTAATAAGAGTCAAAACAGGGTTTTGGCAATACTTTGAAAGGCCAGAATGGAAAAGGCCCCAGTGACTTCCTAGTCATGTAGCAGAAGGCACCGAGATGCTGCTTCCCGTGGCACACAGGAGGCAGCAGGGCAGAGGGGTCTGATGGGGAGCTGTGAGGCTCCTGGGCTGTGAGAGCCCTGCCTGACCCAAGGCCATCCACGTAAGGCACTGAGCACGGGATTGGCTCAGAATAAAGCAGGGAGAGGATGTTAAAATGAAACACACCGTAACAACTTTCCCTTTTACAATCCTGCAGCGCTGGAAGATGTGTGGGGTTCTGTGCCTTTTGAGCACGCTGCCCTGTCATCAAGATGAAGTCCAGTTTCTCAGAGGAACAGGTGCAGACTTTCCATTTCAGCAATTTAGACAGTCCTTCTGTTTTCACACCTGGTAAAGCAGCATCAGACACGGCTGGATTCAATCTAAATTAGCTCGACAGGGCAGGTTGAAAGAAGCAGCAAGATTTTGGATTCAGAAAGGTAAAAAGTTGTGCTTGAGAGTTCCATCAGCCTGTGTTTATGAAGTTGAAGAAATTAACTGACAAGGATCTGTGAGAGGACTCCAGACTCCTCTGAGGTTGTGGGGAACAGGGTTGTTGCAATATTTAAAGTTAGCCAGGGCAGGACCCCTGGAAGCTGTGCCTATGCATTTCTAAAGAACTCTGGACTGAGCCTAAGCACCTGAACCACAAGCTGGCACTGACAAACAGGATTCCCACTGGAGCAGGCTGAGGGAGAAGCCAGAGAGGAATCCTAGCCCTGTGTGGCTCTCTTGGTGGTGGGACTGCATGTCTGGCCCTGTGCCCAGCAGGTACCTGCCCTCCTTGGGCCTTGGGACCTCCCTGTGGGCTAATTAAGCAGGATTCTAGTCTCAAGGTTTTGCTTCTGGAGCATAAGTTCTTCCATGATGGACAGCTCTTCTTGGTGCCCTTGGGTTTACCATTTCAAAACCAAAATGAAGCCCAAAAGCCCACCACACCTACATCCCATAACAAGTAAGCACCGGAGTTGCCCAGGGCTGCAGGTAGGGTCCAGTGGGAAGGACAGCATCACCCAGGACTCAAGGTGCTCACAGAGCTGGTCTCTAACACAGCTCTCTTCCCAAATACACACAAGGAAAGAAAAGCAGAAGAGAAGCACAGTTCTGGTATTGGGAGGAGCATCCCAGGTAGCTCCTAAACCCTCAGTGCTGGAGCCCCAAGACAAAGATTCAGGGGAAGAAAACTCAAGCCCTGCTGCAGCAAATGAGCTGGGACACAAGGGAAAACTGCTCAGGACGTGCAGGTCAAGAGGCTGGGCTGTTTATCATCTAACTGCTACCCTGGCAACAGCTTCACTAACCAGTGTGCCACAGGGAGAGGCAGCCCAGGCTACCGGGCAGCCAGCCCACAGGACTGGCTCTTGAAAGTTACTTCCCAAACTGCAACACCTCCTCAGCACACAGGGCCCTGCACAAAGCAATAACAGGGGATTATTTTGTTTCCATCTCAATGAAGTCCAATTCAACACTGCAGCCCTTGGAAATACAAAGACAAGGGTGAAGCCCTAACAATACCAGCTTGGAGCCCAACATAATAAAGCACAGAGCCAACATCAATTGTTCCAGTCGTTTGTGACACAGTTGAGTCCTTATGGTCTCTAAGAATCACACACTGCTCAGATCTCTCTATACAATTTGGAAATAGAAAATGGACAGGATCAGGTTACCTAATTGAATCTTTTCTTCTGTAGTCAGACACAGCCTAGCCCAGCCTGTCAGGGTATTTACTGACTGCAAATGAAGTATGATATGCCATAGACTCCAAATTGCCAGGATGGCCAAGGCAAAACCATCAGGAGCTGTTACTATCTGGCTGTGTTAGTGGCCTACAAAAAGCAGAGGGAATAGAGCCGGGTTACTGTGAACAGAAGTGGCTGGAATTAAACTAGGCCAGCTGTGGTTTTCCTTTGGCTGTGGAGGAAACATCCTACATTTGGCCAATCCTCTGCTGAACAGGCTTCCCAAAGCTGACAGTGCAAACGCTTCAGCAGGGCTCAGTTTCTGCAGAGATACTTGGCAGTTGTTACAGTACATTGTGCCGTGACTCTACAGTGACAGGCTGTGCAGTTGTTAGTCACCAACTGCTTGGAAGCTTCAGCCTCACTGCCAGAGAAAAATAGGGTTAGTCTGGAAATTCAGTGGAGAAACAAGTGGTTAGAAAACAGTATGAAACAGACAGGTTTCAAAAGAGAGAGCAGGAGGCATATCTGGCAAAGGGTCAGTCACAACAAGAGCATGCAAACCTCAGCTGAATGATAAACCATGATGTTCTTGTACTGGTGAAAGATGGAAGATACTGATCTGTCCATTTCCAGGTCCCAAAGAGATCAGGGAGTTAAACCATGAATTCATAATCTGCATACATCTCTTCTCCTTAGTTCTCTACTTTTTTAGATTCTTCCTTGGGTGCTTCAGGAACCAGGATGACTTTTCCAACATTCTTCTTTTCTTGCATCTGCTTCATAGCCTCTGCCACCTGGAAGCAAAAGGAGTCTGGTGAGACCCCCCCATCCACTGCAGGGTGCATCCCTGCTCTTCCTGAGGCATAACTGGGAGGCAGCTTTCCAGTTCAAGCAAGTCCCAAGCATCCAGGTGCCTCTGCACAGGTGTGTTTTGGGCAGACCTGGGCAACCACCCCAGAAGGCCCATAGGAAACTACACTCAAGAATTCACACAGCCTTAACACACAATGCTCTGCTCACACAAATGTGGAAGTGCAGTGTGTGTCACCACAGCTTCCTCTCCAAAGGGAGGAATCCAGCCACCTCCCAGGAGAACAAAGCCCCCACCAGCTACACAAAACAATATATGCACAGAATTGTATTATTATTATCATCATTTTCAAGCACCTGGGCCAGGCCTGGAATCAAAGCTTTCCTTAAACCTTTGCATCAGACTAGTTCTCATGTATGAACACTGACTGATCATCACTAAATTCTTTGATCCCCTACAGCAAGTCCTACCCCAGCATAGGATTCTCAAGGGAAGAGCCTGACACTGCCTGGACACATCAATGCAATAACCCTGAGCAGAGCAGAGCTGGTGAAAAACCTGCTGCCCCCTTCTAATGTCCTCATTCTGCTTCACTGCCTGGGCTC